CCTAGTATTAGAGGCTATTCCATGTAATATTAGAAATCAGGGAGAAAAGCATTTACTCATTTTAAAAATCAACAGACTGAATGACCTTTCTTTAAAGTATTAATATAATAGTGTCCCCTCGCCCCTCTTTGTGTCCTGATGACAAATAAGGGGTTTCTTTATAGAGAAAGGACTATTTTAAGTATGCCTGCTGGGCTTTTCTAGTAAGCAGCCAATAATAAATGGAGTGTTTGATAAACTAGACAAAGCCTGCCCTGTACTGTAAATTGTAGTGCAATTCTACTGGTTTACTGGTCTAAAATATTCTATAGTAATTGGAATCCTGCTTTAGTCTACAATCTATTTATGAAGAAGTTAATCTAACATTCTGACTTTTTTTACAGCACAAATATTTAATATGCATTAAATTTCTACTAAAGTCCTTAGCTAATTATTAAAATAAAAGACTGTATATGTTAGCAATTTCACTATAGACAACAGTGAATTTATTAAAACAAAAATGCTTTGTTTTTACAAAATTCAAGAGGAGAAATATTACCAAATCCAACAATAATTTAAACTAAACAGCAATTTTACTAATAAATCACAGACTAGCATTGAGGGGGAAAATATAAATAAAAATGTTTAAATATAAATTTATGAACCATCCAGAATCAAGTGAAACTGGCTCACTCCTTCATCACCTAGAACAGTAACTGGCACACAGCAGAAACTGTTTACCGAATAAATAAATCAACCAACTGTTGCCTGTAAATTGGTAAACTTTTTAGGAAATACAATATAGGAATTACCTACAGACGTTACCAGCCATATAGAAGCAGTAATAAAGCTAGTAATCAATCCTAATGAAGCAAAAAAGATAGGGATGAAAGTCACTTCAACTGTTAATAGAAATAATCTATTAACACCCATTAGGATACCAGTCACACAGATTAGGGCAAATCAGCCCAATTAAATACTATAATGACTGGGAAAGACTGCTAACAAAATGTTAAACATGTACAATACCAGATGAAGATATAAAATGAAAGTAACAAAAACTAAAAAACAGTCCACTGATCGCAACTATGTAAAAGACACATGTACAACTAGAAGTTAATAGGCAAAAAACAATACTTCAGCTTTCCTATTCCTTGATCAAAATTCCTTGAAATTCAAACATTCACTGCCATTTCCTCAACAGCTTTTTGGCAGTATTGCTAAAGAAAATATGTCACTTTAGGTAACTTTTCTGATCATTCTTAAATCAAAAAGCGTGGCATGTAAATAAACTATCTAAATATTTTCTTTGGTCAACTTAAGAGTGTGCCTATTACAACTTGAGGCCTGGTGCACGAAATTTGTGCATGGATTGGGTCCTTAGGCCTGGCTGGCAATCAGGGCCAATCTGTGGGCAACCAGCGGGCCCCTGCTCGCACCCGCCGTGGCCGACCTGGCGTCACCTACTTGCTGGTCCTGTCCCTCCCTGCTGGTTGCTTCCCTCTGCAGGGCGACAGGCAGGGCGATCAGGGGACCTCCACTGGCACCTGCCTTGGCTGTCCTGGAGCCTGTGGGCAGCTCTTGAGTGGAGCATCTGCCCCCTGGTGGTCAGTGCGCATCATAGCGACTGGTTGTTCCACTGGTCGTTCCCCAGTTTGGTCAATTTGCATATTAGGCTTTTATTTATATAAGACTAGAGCCCCAGTACACAAAATTCATGCATTTGGAGGAGAGCCTCCTGCCACCATTGCTGCACTTGCCAGCCATGAGCCAGCTTCTGGCTGAGAGGCACGCCCCCTGTGGGAGCGCACTGACTGTCAGGGGGCAGCTCCTGTCCTCTGGTGGTCAGTGTGCATCATAGCGACTAGTCGTTCAGCTGTTCAGTCAATTTGCATATTAGCCTTTTATTATATGAGATAAGATTAGAGGCCCAGTGCACAAAATTCCTGTACTCAGGGGGGCAGGGAGGGTCCCTTAGCCTGGCCTTCGCCCTATCACACTCTGGGAGTCCTCAGAGGATGTCTGAATGACGACTTAAGCCCAAGGAGTGGGCCTCAGCCATCAGTTGGACACCTTAGCGCTGCTGCAGAGGTGGGAGAGGCTCCTGCCATGAGCGATGCTCTTGCCAGCCATGAGCCCAGCTTCTGGCTGAGGAGCACTCCCCCATGGGAGTGCACTGACTACCAGGGGGAAGCTCCTGCGTTAAGCGGGATCAGGCCAAAACTGGCTCTCCAACATCCCCCAAGGGGACATGAATTGTAAGAGGGCACAGGCCAGGCCAAGGGACCCCACCAGTGCACAACTGGGGCCGGGAAGGGACTTGAGAGGTTGGCCAGCCAGGGAGGGACCACAGGCTCCAGGGCACATTCAGCCATTCTGGCTTAGTCCTGATCAGCTAGGCCCCAGCAGCAAACTAACCTAGCAGTTGGATCGTCTGCCCCCTGGTGGTCAGTGCACAACATAGTGTAATGGGTGGTTGAGCAGCCTTAGCATACCATTCACATATTACGCTTTGATTGGCAGAACAGACAACCAGACACTTAGCATATTAGGCTTTTATTATATACTAGTGGCCCAGTGCACGAAATTCATGCACGGGGGAGGGGAGGTGAAGGGTGTCCCTTAGCCCAGCCTGCACCCTCTCCAACCTGGGACCCCTCAGGAGATGTCTGACTGCTGGTTTAGGCCCTACCGCTGTGGGGGACCCACAGGGGTAGGGCCTAAACCAGCAGTCGAACATCCCCCTCACAATCCAGGACCGCTGGCTCACCTGCCTGCCTGCCTGCCTGATAGCCTAACCCCTCACCTGCCTACCTGCCTGATCACCCCTAACCACTCTGCATGCTGGCCTACTTGCCCCCAATTGCCCCCTCTGCCAGCCTGATTACCCCCAACTGCCCTCCCCTCCTGGCCTGATGGCCCCTAACCATCTCTACCTCAGCCCCACCACCATGGCTTTGTCCAGAGGACATCGGAAGGTCTCCTGGAAGGTCTCCCAGTCTAATTAGCATATTACCCTTTTATTAGTATAGATACTAGAGGCCCAATGCATGAAATTCATGCACGGGAGTTGGGGTGTCCCTCAGCCTGGCCTGCACCCTCTCCTATCTGGAATCCCTCTCACAATCCAGGACTGCTGGCTCCTAACCGCTCACCTGCCTGCCTGCCTAATTGCCCCGAACCGCTCCTGCCAGCCTGATTGTCCCCTAACCGCTCTCCTGCTGGCCCGATTGCCCCCAACTGCCCTCCCCAGCGGACCCAATCACCCACAACTGCCCTCCCCTGCCACAACCCACCTCCTCTACCACAACCTGCTTCCTCCACACAAGGAGGCAGAGACACTGGGACCAGCCTCCTCCGCGCCGCATGGAGCAGCAAAACCCACAGGCCTCACAGCACAGAGCGGGCCCCCATCTCTGCTATGCGCATGGCCACCTTGCGTCAGCCATCTTGTGATGACATTGTGCATGAAGGCATGAGGAACACCTAGGCTTTTATTAGTATAGATAGGATATGTTAAAGGGAAGGAAGACATTTAGAAAAAGACATAAATGGCAGTGCCACCATATTTTTTAAAATGTCTGTTCTTTCCAGGTTCCCAAATTGCCACAAATGGGAAAAAAGAGTTTAAAAACAGCAATTTAAAATGTGTAACACTTTATAGACACTGGCTTTCTAACTTGGCTCTTATCCTTATGCCCTCTTGCCCTTTCTGCCCCATTCCACACTCACCACTACTTGCCACGCACCTATAAGTTTCCCTATCACACCACCCTGATCGCAACCTGAATTCCAAATTATTAGTTTATATAGTATTTACTCTTCTCTTTATCCAGATTACAAAAGAAACACAAACTTACCCTGGAAAATCAGTCTACAATTAGAAATGCACGCTTGCGCGCACGCGCGCACACACATATACACACACACACACACACACACACACACACAGATTTTTATTTACCTTCAACCCCAACACCCAGGGAGAAAAACCATTAACACTTCCAGAATGACATCAGATAGTGTACACTGTTTTGTAAGTTAATTTTTCTCTTAATATAACATTTATTCCACCTCCGCATATTCCTAAGAAAAGGACTCAAATGCAAGTAGTTTACTTATAAAGTACAGAAACATCAGCAAGGAAGTGAGAAAATTCAAGATGAATTATCACGCCTTGCTACCATATGGGCAACGACATCTTAACCTCAAGAGAAAATTCTGGGTAATGTAGAATTATCCCACCCTAGGAAGGAGGGAGCTGGGGCAGTCCTACTCCAACTCCTATCAGCACTGGTTGAGGCTCCAAGGCTACCCTGCAAAGAGACTTCCTAATACTTTGAAGAGAGCTTCATTAAAGCAGAATTAAATTTGAAAAAAAGCACATCAGAAAAGCAAAGGTAATCAAGGAAGAAAAAAAATTATTAAACTATATGAAATACAGGGGTTTTTTGCAAATCAAAAAGCGTTGAATATCAGCAATTTCATAAGATTCAATCCAATATGTATCAAATTTTCAATTTTTTCTTTCTGGATTCCATAACTATGGTAGAACTATCTACAAAGTCTTTACTTCTCTCTCTCTCATTTCTTTTTCTCTCCTCCCTTTCCTTTGTTGAGGAAACACAGGCCTAAAAGTGCAACCTAATGACTACTGATACACTGAAAATGCAGCTTTCCAGCTGTAGCCAGGTTAGGTGTGAATGAATGAATGAAGCTAAATAAAATTTAAACAAAGAATATACCTTTCTCTTCTACTTCCCATCATGACATTCTTTCAATTAAGAGAAAAGTAATTACTATCTCAAAAGATCAATACACTAACAACCCCAAGTGTATAAAAACAATCGCCATGTATATAAAATGCTTACAAATGATTTTGAGTTTTAGTTTCATGAAAAAGACATTCACTCTGTAAGGAAAGTACGTCGCTACAATAGACATCTATATATAGCTTTAACTACCACTAAAGAATTGAAAAATGGGAAGAAAGAAAAGGCAAGATATATAATCATCTTTACCTGCAGACGGAGATTTCAACACGGGATTGTGGTCCACCATTATGCCGTCTTGTGTCTTGTGTCCAAGCCTTTGCGTGTGCTGCTGCACAAATTCTGTGGGATGGATAGAATCTACAGGCTTCGTTGCATTTGACTGTGTGGTCTGAACACTGCCTGTGTGTTCGGAAGAGCACAGCAAGTCGTCAGGGTGCGGCTCTGCTTTCCGTAGGTTGCCCCTGGCTAATACTCGCCAACTGATGGCAGGAAACTTCAGAAGAGCAGAGTTTGCCTCACCCAAACTCAAAGCATGTGACATACCAACGTCATCCTCCTCAGGAATGGGGTTGTACCATATTTCCCCTTCATCATCTGCATCGTTTTCCTCATTGAAGTCCAAAGAACAGTTTCTTGATAACGAAGCATCTGTATCATTACACACCACATACCGGCAATATTCCTCAGGTGGTTTGAGGAAAGGCTGTGATAACTGATGTTTACGTGGAGAGGCAGGCGAGATGGGCAAACGGCTTATATGTTGGTATTTCTTACTTTCTTCTTCCTCCAAAGTAAAAGGTCGCAGAGTACTCTGATATAGCCAATTGCGTTTCTTTGACACAGTGATACTGTTAAGTGGCTTATGATCTCTGAATCCAATGTTACCCTTCAAATCATCAAGTTCTCTTCTCTTCATTGTAGAACCATAAACATTTTCAAATAAATCTGTTTTAAAGAAAAAAAAGACAATAGAATATAATGCCTGGTATACCAAGAAAGACATGTCCCTTGAGATCAGTAATTCAAATACTATTTTTAAAAAGATAAAAAGAGCCCTAGCTGGTTTGGCTAAGTGGACAGTGTCGGCCTGCAGATTGAAAGGTCCCAGCTTTGATCCTAGTAAAGGGCACATGCCCAGGATGTGGGCTCAATCCCCACTATGAAGCGTGAAAGAGGCAGCTGATCAATGATTCTCTGATCATTGATGTTTCTCTCTCTCCTTCTCCGTTCCTCTCTGAAATCAATAAAAACATATTTTTTAAAAAAGGATAAAAAGAAAGAAAAGTAGCCTGGCTGACATGGCTTAGTGGTTGAGCATCGACCTATGGACCAGGAGGTCAGGGTTTGATTCCCAGTCAGGGCACATACCCAGTGTGGGGCGTGCAGAAGGCAGCCTATCAATGATTCTCTCTCATCATTGTTGTTTCTATCTCTCTCCCTTCCTCTCTGAAATCAATAATAAATATATATTTTTTAAAAAAAGAAAAGAAAACAAAAAGTAAATATTAATTTTATTTGAAGACTAAAATTGAACAAGAAAAAATTTTGATTTCCCACCTAAATTTTATTTATATTATTTATAACTCAAACTGCAAGTATAAGTGTCATAAGAATTCTAAGAAAAAGAATAGACAAACTCTGAGACTGCCTTTATTAAATTGATAGGGCTAACAAAGCTTTACCCTAAGCAAAACATACTTCATAAAAAGCTAATATAGAATGCATTGTACACAATATGCCTTTAATATTTGAGTGATTTTCAACTCCCTACATGGACTAGAAGTTCTTTAGAAAACACAAGTAGCCGAAGCCAGTTTGGCTCAGTGGTGGAGCGTCGGTCTGTGGACTGAAGAGTCCCAGGTTCGATTCCGGTCAAGGGCATGTACATTGGTTGCAGGCATATCCCCGGTGGGGGGTGTGCAGGAGGCAGCTAGTCGATGTTTCTCTCTCATCAACATTTCTGGCTCTCTATCTCTCTCCCTTGCTCTCTGTAAAAAATCAATAAAAAATATATTAAGAAAAAAAAAGAAAACACAAGTAATATTCCTATCTTTATGAAGATTAACTTTGAGTATATCTTTCAACATAAGTGAGCCTTACTCATTATTAAATGCCTTACTGATTATTAAGATTTCAACATTTGTTTCCTAACCATATAACGCAGTAGCATCTCATGCAGTGTTTAAGTTCTAAATATATACGGCAAAAATAAAAATCCCTTAAGAAGGCCCCAAATTAGAATCAAAAATGCTATCATACAACAAGCATAAGGCAGCTACCCTGTTTCCCCGAAAATAAGACAGTGTCTTATATTAATTTTTGCTCCCAAAGATGCGCTAGGTCTTCTTTTCAGGGGATGTCTTATCTTTCTATGCGCTAGGTCTTATTTTCGGAGGATGTCTTATTTTCGGGGAAACACGGTATTATTATTGGCCAAGCAGAAACTTAAGCATGGAAATAAACAAAAATGTCCCTGTCCTTAAGAAATTCACTGTCACCTAACTGGTTTAGCTCAGTGGACAGAGCGTCGGCCTGCGAACCGAAGGGTCCCGGTTCTATTCCAGTTAAGGGCACGTGCAGAGGTTGCGGACTTGATCCCAGTGAGGGGTGTGCAGGAGGCAGCAATCAATGATTCTTTCTCATGATTGATGTTTCTATCTCTCTCTCCCTCTCTCTTTCTCTCTGAAATCAATAAAAATATATTAAAAAAAGAAATTCACTGTCCAATGGGAGGACATCAAATACTAAGATATATATACATGATAATATAAAGCTCCAGACAGCAGCTGTGGATCGCTGAAGGATGCCCACGAGCAAACCAGAGACGGTGGGACCTGCATCAACACCATCTGTCAACCAACCAGATCTGAAATATCATGGCTGACATGTACACATAAGGAAATGTTTCACATTGAAATTGGGACTCAAAAGAACTGTTGGCCCAGAAAGGAACTCATTACAGACTGATTATTTGCCTCTCAGCATAATCATTATGGCTTGTCTCAGTTTCAGTCCTTACAAGGGAATTCCTTGTATCACATGATCTAATGCATCTAGTGGAAATAATAAACAACATAAATTGATGAACAAAAACAGTCCTGGAGACAGAGAAGCAGCAATCAGACTGTTGGACCTCAGAGGGAGGGTAAAGGAGGAGCAAAGGGGAGAGATCAACCAAAGGACTTGTGTGCACTCATATAAGCCTAACCAGTGGCCATGGACAACAGGGAGTGGGCATATGTGGGGAGGGGTTAGGGATGGGAATGGGGGGATGAGGACAATTATGTGACACCATAATCAATAAAGAAAATTTTAAAATAATAAATAAATAAATAAATAAATAAATAAAACACAAATCTATCATAACACAAATTCATTCCACATAATTCAAACAAAACCATATTTTTTAAAATTTAAGATCATGCCAGCTTTGTAAATTAGAGAATTATGATCCTAGGCTAATTTGAGTGTGTATATGGTTGATTCACCCTAGTATTTCAGTAAGTAAAATATAATAGTCTAATAACAGAGACTGATAAAAACACACAAAACTATGTGAAGCTTAATAACTAAAAGGTTATTTTGTGCATAATCAAGGCTTTCAGTAACCGCATTTCTACTGAAAAAAAAAGAATCCTTTAAAAATGTAAATTTATTTTTTTAATTATAAACATTACCCAACCAAGCAGATTAATAATTAATAAACAAATAAAATATGCTTAAACCTTTAACAATTGGGTTTCAAGTTCAATTACTTCCAGAGATATGAACAGACTAAGAATCATAAGAGAAGAACGCTCCCAGGAATGCCTACTATGCCAGACATTAATTTACTCAACACACTTATTGTGCTAGGTATGAGAGATAAAGCAATAAGAAAGCCCTTAACCTCACTGTACCTTCACAAGAATCCTATGAGACAGGTACGATTATTTTCAGGAGCTTCAAAAAGTATGTGGAATATGGTCAAGGTGGTAGCACTAAAATGCAAAATCCCTACTCTTACCAATCTTCCTGACCCCCACTAGAAGCAGAGAAGTAGGCAACCCTCCCTGGGCCTGGTGATAATATTAACCCGGCTAACCTAATAGGGTGATGGCGGCTGATAACATTAGAAAACGTATAATACTATTCAGAAAGGTCAAGTAATCTGCTCAAGATCATCTAGTGGGAAAATGGAAGAGGCAGCACTCAAACTCTATTGGCTTCAAAGTCTGTAGTAGTACGCCTGGGCTTCTAGGAAGGGATACCCACCTCCAACTTCCAGGATTTAACATGCAAACATGTAACCGATGTTCAATATATATCTTGAATTGATCTAGTTTAATTTCATTAACAAAAACTTAAAGATTCAAGGTTGTTCTTTGGTTTGTGTCCTACACACTTAAAATTCAGAACTGAAATTCAATTCATCACTGGAGTTTCTGGGTTTTTAGCGACTACATCCTTCTGCCGAGTGCACTAAAATCTAGATCTATTTTACGTTTAAGACCAAGTCTCATATTATTTGATAACATTTCAGACCTTTACAGGATACTATATGTAGTTTTGACACAATTATAAATTTAAAGAACAAAGTGTAAAATTATACAACTCACAATTGCTATAATCCACATCTTATTTTACCTTTCTCTCAGATGTCTCTAAAAACATGCAAAATTTTTTATAGTTTAATGTATTATTTTGAATCTACTATAGTACAAGTACATTATCAACATTCCACATCCCAAGAACTATAATGAGAAAAATAAAGCAAATTTAATATTTTTATTAATATAAGCATTTAATGAATGTATAATATTAAAAGAAATAATTATACCATGAGATACATCATTTTTCATGAAACTACAAACTGCAAAAACTTAAAACCAACCCTGACTAGTTTGGCTTAGTGGATAAAGTGGTGGCCTGCGGACTGAAGGGTCCCAGGTTTGATTTCAGTCAAAGGCATGTACCTTGGTTGTGGGCATATCCCCAGTGGGGGGGTGTGCAGGAGGTAGCTTATCAGTGCTTTTCTCTTATCAATGTTTCTAACTCTCTATCACTCTCCCTTCCTCAATTGTAAAAAAATCTTGAAACCAAATAGTTTCATTGCTATTACTGAATATTTCAAAATATGTGAGAATAGAGTTTAAATATAGATAGGAGCATCACAATAATTTCTAATAGTAAAATTTTTTCGGTTATTAAAACTGAATATGGCTGTGGCTGGTGTGTTCAGTGGTTAGAGCATTAGCCCAAGTGCCAAAGGGTCTCAAACTCAATCAAGGCCATGTACCAGGGTTGCAGGTTGGATCCCCAGCCCAGAAGGCAACCAGTCAATGTATTATATTTCTCTTACATCAATGTTTCTCTCTCTCTCTCTCTCTCTGTGTGTGTGTGTGTGTGTGTGTGTGTGTGTGTGTGTGTGCGCGCGCGCCTTCTTCCTCCCTTCTACTCTCTCTAAAAGTCAACGGAAAAATATCCTTAGTGAGAATTAACAAAACAACAACAAAACACACACACACACAAAAAAAAAAACCTGAATATAAGCAACACATTAAATTTTAATAATAAATTTTACTTGAGCAATTACTTGTAAATAATTCAAATCATTTCATTTGCATCACAGTTAGTTAAACAGATGTGTATGAATGTGTATGAATGTACATTACACAGAAATGGAAAGGTATTTGCAATCTTGCCTTCATTCCGTTTTTACACTAAAAGTAATGTTAAACCTTATTGACATAAATTTAAAACTTATCTTTAACTTCAGATTTTATATCTGTCTATATAATGTAAAAGTTAAAAAATGTAAAACACAAATAAAAAATATAAAAATAAGTATGCAAAGTTACAAGGTAAAAAGTCTTTATTCCCTTGTAAGTACACATTCTGTTATGATTATCAGATTCAAATTAAAATCATTTTACTTTAAATACGTACAAGAAAATCCAGAAGTG